TTTTTTATAATATACTTTGAATTGGAGAGATTCTTTTCTAGATATAGAAATCAATTTTGAAACAATTCAAATTATTATAGAGATAACTTTTTCTCTAAGAAAAAATTTCAAGTTAATAAATCTCTAATTTTTCTTTGAATTATCGAGGATTTACTTTAGAGATTGAATAAGAATTTGAATTAGAAAGACTGTATATAATACATCATATTCATATGTTTACATTGTATATTTTTACAGCTAACTGATATAGTTCCTGGTCGTTACGTTTTTCGATTAAAAGTAACGGATGATCAAGGTCTGAGCAGTGAAGATACCGTATCAGTAATTGTAAAACCCGGTTAGTATTGATTAAATATAATATAATTATTATATACTTCTGTAATATGATAATTTAAGAAAAAAAATGAATTCTTTTTACTCCATAGATCCGCAATTATTACATCTGGTAGAATTGACATTAAATATAGGGGCTAGCATGTTAACTGTTTCGCAAAAAAATTCATTGGTAATGAAACTGCAGATGCTATTACGAGATGAAGCTTCGATTGTAATACGAAATTTGAGAGCAGAACCGCACACTGGAAAAACTGTTTTACTATTTTATGTGGAAAATAAGGGAGGAAAGACAATGTTGCCAGGTCCAGAAGTAGTCAAAAGATTAAAAGAAAAGTTACTACAAGATTCTGGTCTTTTACAGCTGTCGGTAGCTAATATAGATACTGCTATATGTCAAAATAATTGTTCAGGTATGTAATTCTAAAGATATAAATATTGAAATTTAATATGCTTATGCAAAAATTATTTATTTTGAAAAATTAAAAGTGTATGAGAAAATATAATTTAAAATAAAAATAGATTTCTATTCGTATCAATTAAACATGTCTATTTAGGTCACGGTGTATGCGATCAAGAGACAAGACAATGTTTGTGCGAAGCATTTTGGATGCAGAACTTGATACAAAAATATTTTGGTAATGGAGATTCTAATTGCGGTATGTTAAATTCTCTATCTGAGATAAATGATTCGTTTCATAATATTCACATTACATTTTATATATATATATATTTGTTAATTTAAATTATTTTACTCAGCGTTACTATTTTTTTTTTTTTTTTTTTTAGATTGGAGTATCCTATATGTGATAATAGCGTTGCTATCATTAGTCATATGTTGGGTTGGATTTGTTTGGAGTCTTGTTTGCTTGTGCCAAAGGATATGTGCTGGTCGAAGACGTTTGCTTCGGCCTAAGAAAAAACCAGCGCGTTATTCTTTGCTGCAGCCAGAGCCAGAAGATGACAGCAGTGCATGTATGTAGCTTTTTTGTTACTTAACTTTTGTCAAACATGACATAACATTCAATATTTTGAATTGTTTATGTCTTTGTCCATATTAAAATTATATATATTAGCATTGTTTAAACAATAAAGCTTTTTTCACAGTGTTAATTTAAATAAAAGAAATATAAAATTATACAATTTAAACATTTTTATTTTTTCTTTAACTTTCTTATTCAAGTCATTTTTTGAAAATACTTGAATATCATGAATCTACTTATTATTATTGTGAAGTTATACTTATTATTATTGTGAAGTTATAATAATATCTTCTCATCGCAGTTTCAACTCACAACAAAATGGTATTATCAGAGTCCGACACTGATTCTGATGATGTTTTGTTTGAGCATCGAAAGAGTAAAAGTGGTAGTCATATAAGAAATGGTAAATCTCGAAATGGATTTATCAAAGTCGGTTCCCGAGTGAAAACATGAGGTAATGAGTACAATACTTCATTTCACAACGTTAAGATGTTAATCAAATTCCTAAATTAAAATTTTTTATTACGTTTTAGAAATGCAATGATATGATGACGCAAAGATGATAAACAATGCACAGTTGTGTAAGGCCAAACTTAAAATACTAGTCATAATGTAAGTCGACTTATGTACTTTACAAGAATGATCGCCTCCAGAATTGGTATTGATAACAATGTTCTAAGAAGATAGATATGGGAATCTAAATATTGTTTATAGATATAATGATAACATCGCAACATTCTATGTCATGTTATTTAATTCATCTTAAGTATTAATTGTATTCTGTACCTATTATGTGACTCTATCTGCGCCAACGATTAACAAACAAAAATGCGACGTCACATGATCGTCTAACTATTTGAGAGCTTATCTAAGTATTATTATGGCCTTAGAAAATATTTAAATTAAAATTAGTATTTAGTAAGCACTGTATCATGTCTATATATCGTTTATATGTATTGCTTACTCTTTAATACATACATTGTCAATCTTATTTTTACACTACATGGATATTAAATAAAATTTATTATCCATACATATTTTTATATCATTAATTTGTCGCATATACTTGCTTTATTTAGATATAAAAGCAATCACCACCTAATATTTATGTACACTACTCTTGAATTTATTTAAAAAATGATTCTTTAAATGTCGGTCCACAATAGGTGATTTAAGCTTTAAGACGTAAGAAATTGACCAATTATAATCGAATATGAAAAAAATAATCGACTATGATTGGTCAATTTCTTACTTAAAGCTTAAAGATTAAATACTTGTTGTGGACCGACATTAAGATAATACTTTTTTTCTACTTTAAAAATCCTACTTAAAAGACTTTTTTATGAAATCATTTTGTGAAATAAAATCTTTTTATAATAAATTATTGCATTAATAAAAGTAAGTTTTTTGTTTATTTTTTATGAAAGCTAAACAAATTTTTTTTATATTTTATCAAATTGCTGCTGATGCTAAAGATATCTATAACTTTGCAGTCAGCAGCTAGGATTTCGTGTTTCCAGGCAAGTTGCGTTTGGCTCTCCCAGTCTATATTTTAAAGATATTTTTAACCTGCTATGCTGTTGGTGAACTAGTTTTAACTAGTAGAAAGATCCGTGCAGCCCGTGGACTCACTCTTTCATTTCTTCTTAATTGTACCTTAATTTCTTGGTGAGTATTTCAATTTCGGCGTCAATGCAGGAGAAATACATATTCATTGTATATTTGTATTTGTATTTTTATTATAACTGCATTTTTTAGCATGTTGTAATCGATGGATTTGGTAAACTGTTCGGCAAAATGCTCGTCAAAAAGCTGTTGCAATCGTGAGACTACAATAGATAATGAACTCGGAAGTTGCGATCATATTTATGCAAATTTGATCGAATGCAAGAATAAAGGTATAAATACTGAAAATCCCGTCGTCGAACCAACGACGACAATATCAACTATGAACAAATGGTGAGTGATGTCTCTAAATCTACTTAGAGCTTATTAATATATAATATATATGATTTAACATACAAAGTCTCTTCCAATTAAACTAAAATTAGAAATCATTATATTTGTGCTATAAAATGTTAATTGACTCCAAGAATTTTTGACTGATGGATTTTTGTTCAAAACTTTTACAATGTATAAGTGACTCTGATTATATAGTTCCAGTAATGAAGATTCCAGAAAAAACATATTCTTTGGTCAAATTCGAACGTTCTTACACACCAGCCTGTTTTGATTCGTAACAAAATGGGCCATGAAGTCAAGAAAGAGTCGAGAGAACTGACACATTCTTTATATAGATTACCGCACGATACGAATTTTCAATGTCCCAGATGTGGGCAGAGAATGGAAGAACCCAGACTTCTTCCTTGTTTACATCCTATATGTTTACCGTGCGTTTATGAATTGATGAGCAAATGTAAGTGGCATAATCTTATCTAACAAATGCAATATTTTTAATTAATTAATGTTTATTACAATCGATTGTATTACTGATCATACTTTTGATTTTTTGTGAGAACACATTGACAGTATGCTTGTAGCTTCGTACATTTCTTCGAAGAACGAAATACGAGATGACAATCGAATATATGCACGACTCGATATGTATGAAACGTGTCCGTTATGCAATTCGCCTTTGCCGAAATTTAATTCAATTAATTCTACTATACTACCACCACATTATCCTTTGCAACATCGGTCAGTTATGGATACAATGCGACGTAAACTGGTCAATAAAGTACTTTGTGATACCTGTACAAACGAAATTCCGGTAATCAAGATATTATTGCAACTTTTTAAAACTCATCGTTAATATTATCTATCTTTTTCTCTTTTTTATATTATCATACTGCAAAATAAATATATTATTAAATTTACATTTTTACATGTAATATGGTAATACATTTATTACCGTGTAAACAAATCCACAAGGAAAATAGAAACGTTATAGATGGACTTTTTCATATGTTACTTATTTCAGGCGCTCATGCAATGTTCAACGTGTTTGCGTAATTTCTGTTCGGAATGCGGCGGGCAGCATGAACAACAAAATATTGCGGAAGCAAGAACGAATAAACATTTAATGAGACCACTGTGGGAAGTTACCAAAGTACGACGGACGATTTTATGTCAAACGCATCCGACGCACGCTTTAAAATTTTATTGCATCGCGTGTCAGCAGGTTTAATAAAAATGACCTCTTCTTTTATATACATTTCAAACAATTGATATTTTCAATTAAAGGCATGCATATTCGTTTTTGTTTCATTATATTTAATAACTTATTATTTTGGAGAATTTTCAATAAATAAATACAATAATGCAGATAAATTATAAAATTTTCAGGTGACATGCAAAGAATGTATGTGGAGTGCTCAACACAGAGGTCATGCCAGTGAGGATGCTATAGGAGTGGGCAAAAGAGCTAGTACATATTTAGCAATAATGTTGCAAAAAGCAAAAATATATCTAAATAAATTATTAATTCAATATAATCACGATGTATTTTCAACTAATGATCTTGAAGAAGCACACAGTGTTATCACGACTTGCAGGTACGTCTACATATAATGTTATATTTTAAAATCGGGAATAATATAAATTATATTACAGACTCAATGACAAGTTCATATAAAATCTGCTGTACAATATTCTAAAATTTATAAGTTTTTCAATTATATACATACAATATTAATTGGACTAAGAAAAATAAATTCTCATGCTAGTATATTATAATGAAATTGTCATTGTATATATAAGAATAATGGGCGAATAAAATATATCTAATTGTCATTTGAGGTATAAAGTGTACATTCAGACTGATGTGAGATTAACTGATGTACAAGACTGACTAGAATTGTTAAAATTGTATAATTTGAATATATTTTACTAATTGTATATATATATATATATATATATATATATATATATATATATATATATATATATATATAT